TGTATTTTTCTGCATTTTTTATTTTCTTTAAAGAAATTTAAATTTGTGTTTAAAAGAATCAAAAAAAAAAAAAAAAAAAAAAATGGGGGAGAGATTGAAGGGTTTCAATGAGGTGAGGGATATCTGGTGATGAACGCGATAAGCCAGCTGAATCAGTTCCATGTAAACAGTAGCTACAGTACAGACGACGGCCATTTCCCAGAACTGTTGTGGTGAAACGGCAGCGTCAATATGGGGGGATGTCTCTCTTTTTCTCTCTCTCTCTCTCTTTTTCTATCTGTCTGCCTTTCCCAGCACAGCAGCCTGCAGGCTTTTCGCCGTCACGTGGTCGACTTGTCCTTTCCCTTCCCCTTCCTGCCTCTCTGTTTGGTTATATTCCAGTCACGGCACCCCAGCCCAGCCCGCCCCGCCCCGCCCCTTGTTGCTCTGTTAGGTCACCCGCCTTGTTTGCTCAGATGGAACAGAAGAGGAAATGAAAGCTCTGAGTGCACTGTTAACCCATCCCTTACTCGCTGCTCCATTATTGTGTGCATGCCTTCTAATTTTCCCTGGGCTCTTTCATTGTTTTGATGAGGATTTGCTTCTATGGCAGGATGCTGTTTGTCCTTTTGAAGTGTGCTGCCAAGGAATAATACATTAAAAGCCTGGCATAAAATAAAGCAGCAATTCCAAATAGGATGGAGACAATTTTGTGTCTTGCAAAATTAATTATTACCCATTGAAGGTTTTCACGTTTGCCCTTTATGCAGCGTAAATGCATTTTAAGTGGATTTTGTGATAGATTATCCCCGAAAGTAGTGCATAATTGTACAACTGAAGGAAAATTATACTTTATTTGCTGCTTCTTTTTTTTTCAAATAAAAAAATGTGAAAAGTGTTGCACATCTAATCACCTTTCTTTTCTTTGATATCCCCAAGTCAAACCTGGTGCAATCAATTTTCTTCAGAAATTACTTAAGTTGTGAAAATAATTTATGTTGCGGTTAAAAAAAAAGTTAATATAATTCTAATTGGTTATTTCATTTATTAAGGGAAACAAAGCTTTGCAAATTATCTTCATGAAAGTTTTGTGATAACTGGTACTAAGTCTTTAACATCCCTCTAAAAGGATCTAGGCCCACAACGTGACGTGTTGTTTAAATTCAGCCGGAGGATCCTTCAGCATAAACAGCCTGTTTAAGGTCAAACCACACACACCAGGTTTAAGGTCACCCTTTGACTAGGCCACAATCATTTTACTCCCACATAATGTTCTTGAGCAAACGGATATTTTCTCCTCCAGGTTTTTGAAATGGCTAATTTTCCAGAGACTTAAAAACATTAATTTATTGACAAAAAGCGGAGGAGTGTTTTTTTTTTTTTAAGCAATTATTTTTAGAAGTAGTAAAGACTGAAGTGGAAGAACAAAAACATGCAAAACGTAAACTTTGCATACTATGTCCAACTTTATGACTGAGGCAGGAAGTGTTTTTTTAAAGTCTTTTAGCTTACTTCATTTTGTCAGACAGGTTACATTTAAATTATTTCTTGGCTTTACTTCCAAGGTAGTAATTACGCCTTGGTCTCACCAGTGAAATTTAACTGCATCGTTGGTCGGCTGTTCCTGCTCTCAATGCTTTATTGGCGGCGTCTTTTATTTTATTCTAGTTCTATCTTGTCAAGATAATTAGACTGTTTTTATAGTGTAAGACAAATTTCTGGCTCTAGACTTTCAAGAGGCTTGCCCTAAAAGACTTGCAACCTCCGTTGAAGTGAAATATAGATTAAGAAGGCTTCGACTCAGCGCAGGGTTAAATATAAACCCAAACCACACTTTGTATTTTTCCAGAGAAGTTTGTGGTTGTAATGTGAGATAATGTGGCAAAATTAATGGGGTATGAAAACTTTTGCAGGGCAATAATGTATGACTTCACCATAAAAGTGCTGCGTCAGTGTTGAAATAACATCTTTCCACAAAACATGTGACTGTCTTTGTGTTTGCACACTATCTAAACAACGTGTGCATGTGTGGGAGCACATGTTAGCTTTTTGCTCGTGCTTATCCTTGACTCGGCCAAACACTTGGTTTCTACACAACGAGGTCAGAACAACACGGACACCACAGTAGCTGAATGGCCATTTTGGGTAAAAGCTCTCCGCAATAATAAATAGCTTCTGGCACGGAGAAGTTGTTTCCCAGCTGCAGCTCGGAGCCAAAGCACAGAATTAACTCCAATACCGCTGTGGAAAAACATCGCCCATCCAAACCCACATACCTTCTCAGAGTCTTTGAGCAGCTTGTAATCCTTCAGTGGCAAGAGGACTCTCAGAAACACACCAGCTCATGGCTGCCAGGCGAATTACTGCACAGTTAGTGTGTGGAAAATACAGTTCTCTCTGCTCACCCAAACGGGTGAGGAGAAGCTTTTTATTGGGGGGGACAGAATAAATATTTCCCTGATTTCCAATCTGCTGCTTTTTGCCTCCGCTTGACCACAGCTGGTTGCTGTGTTTGCTGGAAGCTCAGAGATGCCTTTACAAGGGAAGATAAGCCTTGAAAGCACAAAACAGCTGCCTTGAATTTTTCCAGTGCTCCATGCTTATTTTGAAGGCGCTCCAAAAATATTTGGAGCGGTTTAAGGGGGGGGATAATGTGAACTTTATCCTCTCTCAGAGGAAGGGAAGGAAAACAAATATTCCACAATCTGCAAGGTCTGCATACGTGTTGGTTAAACAGTGAAGAAATGCACCAACGTCCTGTGAGTCACTCATTAATTCAAGTCTTTCATCTTGATCACGCAGTGTCGTTATCTCCAATCAGTCCACACACATGTGAGGAACGGCTTGTGCAAACTGACAAGGCTGCAGTTTGTGCTGAGTTGTGACTACAAGAGCTGCGCTGTGTTAGCCTTGCACTGACATGTCATCATGCTGGCCTCGGTGACCAAATACGCTGCGATTCGTGGAATAAACGGGAACACGGGCCACTTTAAACAAATCACTCACAGAGTCTGTTTTGTAATCGAGTCAAATAAACAGGATAAGCCGGATGGTAAACAGTAGAAGGAGGGCAGGGCGGCGCTCAGACCACTCAGGTGCTGCTCAGAGGGGTGGTGTTGGTCAGCCACCCTGCTGTTGGAAGCTTTCCAGCTCTGTAAGTTGGTGAGGAGGAAGGTGAAGGTGGACGACCCAAATGTAGAAAAACAAGCTGGGACGCAGCCAACAAAGAGGAAATGTTAACTTAAAGTGGATGAATTATGCAAAGTTCACATTTTGTACATTTTTGTCCTTTCGTTTGGGTTTTAAAAACAGCCCAGCCGCTTAACCCTTGTGTTTATAAATGGGGTCCAACCGACCCCACAGCCGTAAAACTTGTATCATTTGCCACAGTCCTCCACGTTTGCCTCAGTCCTTGCACGCACAAGGGTTAAATAGATTAATGTTTTTAGGTGTCTGGAGAATTAGCCGTCTCAAAAATCTTCAGTAGGCACTGCCCCTCACCTAGCAACCCCAGCCTGTTACCTACCAATCCCAGCAGAGCTCCAAGTGTCACCTAGCAACTCAAGCTGAGCTCCAGCACATTTGGTCAGATGGTTTTACTTCTGTATGTGCTGTACAATGGCTGCTGGAAAGGACAGGTGTTTTGTTGTTGACTTGCCATCCAGAAACCACTTGCTGCATTCTTGTTGGTTGCCCAGGAGGCTCCACTTCTGCTTTTCAAAGATGCACGTTTGTATTATTGCACATCTGAACTTTATCCTCTCTCTATTTTGCATCTATTTTTATATACGAGTGGAAATGTTGAGTTTATGGGGGGGGTCAGCAGCAACTTATTTGGATTTAAAGTGACAACAGGCCCAAAAACAACTCATTCTGAAAGTAGCGTGACCAAACTGAAATCTCATTATGTAAGAATGATTTTGTGCAAAAAATGTAATCAGCAAGATTTCTATTGTCCATAAGCCTGTCTTGGTCAAGGAAGCATTATAGGTCACATTTAAAAATGAAAAACACAAGAGTGCACTGCATGTCGCTAGGTTTCAGTTATTGTGACAATTTTAATCACTCAGAAAGGGTTCGTGCCCTTTTTTAATAACTGCATCAGTGCTCTGTATGATCAGTACAACAAAACTAATTGTAAACATTCTATGAAGCATTTCCTGTTTGACTCTAGTCCTCTTTATTCAACAGCAGCTAGATCAGAGGAAGGGCAGAGAGAGAAGAGAAAAATATGCAGCAAATGGCCCGGGGCCAGGAATCGATCCGGGGACGACGGCGTTGAGGACTGCAGCCCCTGTATATGGAGCGCCTGCTCTACCACTGAGCCATGCGGTGCCCTCCTTTCCTGTTTGTTGTAATATGTAGCATCCTGTTGCATTCTGCCTTCTCTGCACTCCATGCAGGACGTATTAATTTTTAACGTTTACTTGTGGATTTTAGAAGGACTATTTCCAATACAGTCTTGAGTCAGAAAGGCGCTGCTCCAAGCCGAGGAGTTGAAGTCTCTCGAGGTTTTGTTTGAGAGGAGAAAAATACTCGCACTGATTCTGGAGGTTTCCTCCTACTTAAAATTGCTTCTTCTGCTTTCAGTTGCTTCAAAGTCAGTGACTTAATGCTATCAACTGGACTTCCTTCATTAACTCTTTAGTCAATTTCCAAAATATGACCTGCCAAATTTGTATTATAATACCAATCGATTTGGATCTTGTGTAATTGGATCAGTTATTGTCACTGCAGTAACGGTCAGTATGTTGAATTGTTTCTGCAAGGCAATGATTTAATCCAATCTGTTGGGTTTCTTTAGACAGAAACTTTTGACACTAATTTGAATAGTTAATTGAGCATACTGTATTGCTTGATAACTTGGATCACTTTGGATGTATGTGTGACTGGATTGGAATTAATTGTTGCAAAGTTAACAGATCACTGCAATCTAATGGGTTCCTGAGATACAGATTATCTTTACTGGTGTTTTATCTTTTTTGTAAGGTGACTTGAGTTGATATTTTTGTGAATTGGCACTAAGCTTTATTGAAACTGAATTGAACTTAAAAAATAGGCTACGCCTAACTCGGCTAAATTAAAGTGGAGTTAGAATTTTAGAAGTCAAGACAACTGAGAGGTGACTGAGATTGGAGGTTCATTTGGACACATATTTATTTTACTGTCTTCTGACCCTCTTTGTGACCAGGAGGCTGCTGTGACCCGACCAGTTGTACAGACAGACCATCTAGAAAGTGAAGGCTGAAAGCCAGGCTCTGAAAGAGCAGGGCCAGGCCTGGAATGACGCAGGCCCCGGTAAACAGAGAGCGCCGAGGAGAGAGCCACGGCCCCTGGGGCCCCTCGGCCCCTCCTGCCCCTCCGAGCACTTCCTGCGTCTGTCATTCTACCAGCATATCCAATCCCTGATCAAAGGCCACGGAGAAAAAAGGGGGGAAAGAAGAGAGAGGAGACAGTGAAGTGAAAAGGGCGCGGGAGGCTGACGTGTACGTTGGAGGGAAAGAGGGGAGAAAACAACAAGCCCCTCTTTATCTGACGGAGAGGCAGCTGCTTGGGCCAGGGCACCTGTGTGCCTGCTGCCTCCCAGGACGGCGCCAAGCTCCGCCTCTGAACTTGCCGGTGCCAGAGCCATAAAACGCTGCCAAGGCAACACCCCCAACCCCGACGTCTGAAATAAACAATCTTTTGCCCTCGTCTGAGGAGCTTAACCTGTAGATGATCTGCGAGCAGGCCGAGGTTGGGTTGGCACTACCATCATGACTAATTAAAACCTCGTCCACGGGGGTGCGGCAAGTTACTGTAAAAAATCCTCAAAGTGGATATAAGCAGAAAAATCTGCATGGTCACCTGCCGTGTTGCACCTTTTTCATATTTTCCGTTAGGACGATGGCAATTTTTCAATATGGCCGACATTTTTGAGCCTTTTAAGGCAATTATTTCCATAAGATGCTGCACATTTTCATGATTTGGATGAATTTTATGTCAAATCATATGCTTTCGCCAACTATAATCATCTTATTCATACAACTTTAAAGTAATAATATATGGAAAAAATCAGATGTTTGTGAGTCTCACACCAGTCAGAGATGAAGATCTGTCTGACAGTCATCTTAATGGGTAGCGTTAGCTTCCACTAACACCTCAGCATTAGTGGGGCTAAGATTGATAAGCAAATTAGTGGTTAGTGATCCTAATTTTTCAGTTAGCTTTGCACACCACTGACAGTAACTGCTGTCCATTTTAGTGCAAGCATCCATTACTCCATTACAACCATGGCGGCCAGTTTGACAAATGTCTACCAGAAAAAGAAAACACAAAAAATGAAGAAAATATATCTGATGTTTATTTTTCAAAATATGTAGACTATAATTTGACATCAAACAGTTTTATCTATTTGGTAGTTTTAGCGCAAAGAATGTTTTCAGTGACAAAACCCCCCCCCAAAAAAACAGTAAGTATGAGTTGTGTGGGTCCAATTATGTACGATTTGACACCAATAATATTGGTCTGCAAAAGTACATTTTCCTTGATGACCAAAAAAGGTCACCATGTCTAATTTTTCCATGGCTACCGTTTTTTAAAAAAAAAAAAAAAAAAAACCATCAAAGCCCCCTGGGAACATCTGCGCCAAATAAGGTTCTTCTATCCGGATGTGAACAATTTTACTGTAATATTTAACTATCTGCTGCACTAAGTTCGCATTTTTCAAATCGTTCTCTGTATGCAAGCCATGGGAGCAAATCCGACTGTTTGATCATTTGCCTGAGGCTCCACAAAGTTCTGCAGGACTCAGGAGGTACATCTGTTTCAGTGCTATTTCCCAGGCCGGATTAATAAAAAATACTATCACTGAACACATGCTCTGACTCCATGTGCCAGCGCGGACGGGGAAACCTATTACATTTCAGCAGGCGAGGTGAGGACTGCGAGAGCCTTTCCTTGGGATTGGATGTGTCCTCTCTGTTTAGACTCTGCACACTTACAGAGGGAATCACACAGACTCACCGGCAGAGAGGACAAGCCTTGTGCTTTTAAGCAGAAGTGACATCCCATTCATTTAAGCAGGTCAGGGTCTGATGTCCCCCTACCGTCTTATCTTACAAGGCTTAGCTCTGTGAAATGACATTGGCCCAAGTCCAGCACAGACGAGGCAAGCATCCCTGAAGCTGGCCTGCTCTGCACCAAAACCACGCACTCAAATGCTTTTAGCTGAAAGTGGGATTTTTGATTCACCCTTCAATATTATGCAATGTGGGAAAACAGCACCTGCAACTTTAATATATCTTACTTGGAATTTGCTTAATTGCCACGGTTTTCAACTTGTACAAGATAAAATAAAATAAAAAATCAAATACTTTTTGGGGTATATGTATTATTTTTTTCCTAATTTTCACAAATTTAGATCTGGACTTTGGCAAATAAATTCTCTCTATGTGGCATCTGTTTTGCAACTAACAACATAAATGAGACCAAGATTAAATCTACGTGGCAAAGATAAAAAATACAAGTCATAAAAGACTAAAACAAATACGATTCCATGCTAAACCAATACCAGTCTTCTTCCACTGGTTTTATTCAGGAGTATCAGAGTAAAAAAAGATGGAAAATGTACATCACATATTTAAGATTTCTATCTAAAATAACAAAAAACAAAAACAAATATCAACGTCTTTCCACTTCTATTTTTTACCGGTCATGCACTCCTTTGTGTTTTTTACTGCTTCCAGTCAAAGACGCAGAAGTTTGTGGCTTTAATATGACACAATATGACAAAGAGCAGCAGAGATATGAATACTTTTGCAAGTCACTGTGGAGCCAACGATGACGACGAGCGAACCCGGCACGTTTTTCTACAAACACAAATCCAATTTCCTTTTGACACATTCTCTTTGTTTTCTCAGCTTTTGTTGTTGGCAAGCAGTGATGCAGCAGGAAGAGGAGACAGTTGCCATGGCAATCACAGCCATAGGACTAAATATCCTTGGAGGGAAAGACTTGTGGCAGAGCTGCTCCAGTCAGTTTAATTGTTGGCATCAACGTGCCAATAAAAGCAGACAAAAGCACATGTGCAGAAAGTGTGCAAATGGCAAAGTAGATGCATAATGGGCATGTATGTGAACAGCAGAACATGACACAGTAGGGACAAATGACGCTGTGACAACATGTTGTGGGTTCAGTCATCACCGGCATCAGTCTTTGCTGCCTGATGGGAGGCTACAAATGAAACCCTGTCAGCACAGCTGTACTCTTAGACCGCTATCCGTGTCAGAAGTGTCATCTATCCGGCTTGTCCGCGTCGCTCCTTTCTGAAGGCTTTACTCTTTCATCCCCTCTCATTTAATCTCGCCGTCCTGACAGCGGCGCCCCTGTCCCTGGGTTTTTCCGTGCAGAGTGGGTTCACAGGGATGAGTGCGGTGTGGGAGTGAGGATGATTGATACGGGAGAACATGCAGCAGGATGGAGCAGTGAGGACAAGGAAGCGCGAGGAGATGTAGGCGGCATGTGATGAATGGGTAGGGGATGAAATCAGGCTTTTGAAAAAGTAAACGCAATCTACCTTGAGGCTCAATTATTTGCTCGTACTAACATTTTATATTTTTGCAGTAGAAGCCGTGACAGATGTTGAACTGGAACGTTTCTAGTTGGAACACTGCTTGCAGCAGCGTTGGTCTTATTTGTGCTTTGCTTCATGATGACAAAAAAAATAAAAATAAAAAATCTGCCCGGGCGAAGCTTGTGCTTCGCTCTGCGTAGTCCATTAATATTCTAGTCATCTCCTGCTTCAGATAAAGGGGAGAGACAGACTTCTTTTGCTCTCTAAAAACACCAGCTGTGCAGAGCCGTGAGACATCCACACATGCACATGGAGCTGTAAACACACCACTGCAGACGCAATAAGATTTGCGCACACAGGCAAACTTATATAATTGAAGAGTTTGCAAGCAGCTCCATCAATATTGCATGGTGCTCGTCCTGCATGATTTATCACACACACAGACTTATTTCTCAGAACTATTCGCCAGTTTCACATCGAACCACCTGGACAGCATCAGAGAGGGGAGGAAAGTGGGGGAGGAAGTGAACTCTCGCATGAGCAGATATCACCTATTGTGCAGTCAGGTGGGTTCTGATATGCCGCTGGCACACCGAACAGTCCTCCCTTTCATGTCCCACTCATCTTCCCCCACCCTGCCTGCCAAGTCTTCATCTCTGAGAGTCTCTCTGTCACTCATGAACCTCACTATCCCTCTGCCGCCAGCCGTTTCTGAAGATCACGTTGAACGACCGGTTTTATCCACGACAGGGCCTTGCAAAAGAATTCATGTCCCTTCAAATTGTCAGTATTTTACGCGATAGACCAATAGAAAGTAGTGCATGATCAGGGAGTGGTTAGGAAATAATAAACTCCCTTAGCTCATTGCAAAGAATATCTACACTTTTCAAACTCATCAACAAGATGTTATCCTAGTGGCCAAAAGCTCAATCTTTGTCTCATCTCTACATTAAACTTTTCTCCAGAAGGCATTTAGATAGATTCTGGATGAGCAAAGCTCGTAGAGAAAAAATATATAGGTTTAAATCTAGACAAGAAGCTATGTTGGCAATACTTGAACATTGATGCTCTTCAAGAAATTTCAGAGATTGGGCTATTTTACAAAGAAGAAATGGGTAATATTTTAGTCTCTTGTTGAAGGCTGAAAGAGACATAAAGAACTGCAGCTTTGATTACAGCAAAAAATGATTCCAAGTATTGCCTCAGCTGGACAGTTACAAATACACAACTCTCTTTTCACCTTTTCCTTTCAGTTCACGGCTACGCAACGTAATATTTGTCTGTCTCATAAAAACCTAAATACATCCCTCAAAGTTTTTGGACGCAGCATGACTAAATGTGGAAAAAGTTCAAGTGGTATGAAGACTTTTGCAGGGCACAGTCCCCCCTGGGTTTTGCTGGCTCCCTGTCCGCCAAAGCGATTAGTCACTCAGTCGTCGTGTGGACCAAGAGTCTGGAAGCTTCTGATAGAGGAGCACTCGCAGCCCAAGTGACAAGCTCAAGGACGTTTCTGTGTTGCTACTGCCGTTTGTGGCGGCTGTTGAGAGCGCCCGCCTCCTTTGGGCCGAACCGAGGCAGCGAGCCGTTGTAATTACACGCCACTTGCCGAACTGCTTTTTCTCTTTGCCCTGACCATCTCCTGCAAAAAGCTAACAGCTTGTGTGTTATCTTAGTAATGATTCACCCCTCAGTTCACATGGACGCAGCACTCCTCTTTCTCCCTGCACACAAACACTCAGCCTCGCCGTTGCTCTTGTCCACCCACTGCACACGCCTAAATTTAAATCTGTGGATTCAGCTTTGTGCTTGCAGCTCAGTGCAATGTTGAAATATCTTCTCTATTATCCCGTTGGGTTATATTTAGGATCAGCTGTTTGGGTCTAAAAAAAAAAAAGCCTCTGCACCATTAGAGTGTGTATTAGTAAGGTTGCTGAGCAATACAGATGGCTACCTTGTTTCCCAGGAAACAAGAAAATCCAATTAAATAATCCCACGAACCATAGTAACATGTGGTAAACACACCATGGCAGTGCCGCGAGGTTGTTATTCAATCATCAGAAGTAAAACAAACAATTACTGAAGAATGACCCTAATGCAGGAACAAATGAGAATTTATGCATGGGAAAGCGTGGGCCGGGGATGGAAGTGATTCATCGCCGATACTCGTCGGCAAGAGGCTGCCCGAGATCCCTGTTCACAAGAATAATGATGATACTGATGAGCCAAGCATTGTGGGGAATTTATTATTTTGCTGTCTAAGTGTCTTTCATGTTCAGGACAAAGCATTTTCCAGGGGTTTTGCATTTCAAAGAGACGCGGGGGCATTGTTCTGATGAGGACTGATGCGAGAATGTTACCGATGCTAATTAACCGGTGCTAATTGTGCGCCTGAATAAATTATCACAAGGGCTGGTTTTCAGAATTGGTTAATATTTCATCCTTTTTTTGTTGTTGTTTAGTTTGTTTTGTTTTAGATGTTAGCTGCGTCTTCTTAGCTGCTGACGGATTGAAGCTGCTCCAGTTACGTCTGTGGAAAGCTCAGAAGGAGTCACACATCCCCTTCTCGTATGTCGCTCTCTCAATATAGATCACCCTACAGATGGATGTGCATTCTTGTCATGTGCCGCAGTAGCGAAGAGGAGTGCATGTAAATGGGATTCATTTGTATTTCATGTAGAACTCGCATGGAAAAGCAACACTCTGACTGAACTGGCTTTTAAGCGATTTGATGCATCACAACACAGACATATAGGGAACATTAAGGGACAACTCAATTACACCGTCAAGCATAACATTACGACCATTCACAGGGGAAGAACTCTGATCATTCATCATATTTTCAGTGGTTAGCTAATATTTAGTTCTTGAAGTTGATATGA